GGGGGGGTGACAACTTGCCAACTGTACTATGTCACCACACCCGGATTTAAAATTAATATTTAGTCTTTACAAATAAATTTTGCAATAGATACTGATAATACTTTTGAAAATAATATTTATGATAATTCCTCTTTTGTATATCAAGATATTTTTCAAGAAGTTAATAATGACAATATGACTGAAACTGTTATTATTACAAGCAATAGTATGAATATAGTTTCTAATATTTTTGATAATCTCATCTTTGATAGCTCTGTTCATGATAATCCTATTCATTTAAATAAAAAAATCTAAGTCTAAATCCTCTGTTACACTATTTTTTTCACAAAAAACCGTCGATAATAAGATGGTGATTTGTAGTATTTGTAAAAACAATTTAGTGTAAATACAGTACTGGTAACTTACATAAACACCTTGATTCTCAGTATCTGGGATGGCTTATAAATAAGCAACTATCAGCTCAACAACTCCTTTTATTTATACCTGAAACCACAATTTCAAAACAAATTTTAATACTAGCTCAAAAAGATAAAATTAATATATTAATTGTCAAGTAGATTGTATCCAATATGTTACTCTTTTCTATTGTCTCAAGTAAATCTTTTGCTACTATACTTCGATACCTTAATTTTAATATTAATTTACCTTCATGTAAAACCAAAAGTCTACTATCTATAATGCATTTGTTGTAATACAAAAAGACGTTCAGATGTTTTTTAAACAAGTATCTAATAAAATCTCTATTATATTAGATATTTGGATATCTTGTACTAATATGCCTTTTCTTATATTATAGCATATTGGATAGATAGTGACTAGAAGCTTAAAAAAATCTTACTTGATATTCAAATGCTTCCTTATCTGCATACTGATGAAGAAATTAATGAACAACTGCATTCCATTTTTACCACTTTTAATATTACTACCAAGATCCTTTATGCTACTACTGATGGTGGTTCTAATATGATTTTAGCAATATGATTGTTAAAAGAAAATTTTATTTTAAAAAATCATTATTTTCATTTTCAATCTCATCACTATCTAGCCCACATTAAATATTATTGTTACAACTGATTTAACTTCTATTAAATCATCGATTGAAAATATGTATAACTTTATCAAAGCCATTTCCTCATTCTTATCTATAACTCAAGATTTTAAAGAACTAGGCAATCATTTGATGAAAGTGAAGCAACCCATAAAATTTTACAAGATGTTTCTACTAGGTAGAATAGTATATATTTGATGTTTTTGGTCTATGCATCTATGCCTATGACAATTGCTACTGTTATTAGATGCAATAAAAATCTCAACAAATATATACTTATACCTCAAGAAAAAGCAAATTTTTAAACTGCAACACAATTTCTTCAGCCGTTTTATGAAACTACCAATATTTGGTATTTTAGATTGTTTTTGGATAAGATTGTTTTTTTTTTTTCTTTTTTTTTATTTGTTTCTCATTACTATTATTTACTGACTTCATTTTTTCTTTTCTGTGGCTTTACCAGAATATGAATTATATGCATTGTATACTATATATATTGTAATAAATATAATGCGAAGAAGGCGTATGTGATTCTGATTTAGCAATTCAAGAATATACAAGTAGCAACAAGAATATTGACAATTGTATGAAAGAGTTACA